CCCCTGAGCACCTCCAGGAGTAACCCCTGTGCATCGCCCGTGTGACCCCCCCCCAAAAAAAAAAACAAAAAAGGGGAGGGAAAAACAGAGGAAGAATAAGAAAGTTTCTATAGATTATTGGCTGAAATTCTACTCTATTGACTAGGTTGGATCAAATCAGCAGATTGTCCACGTGAATTTCTCTTCTCTTAACTCCTTTTAGTTGTTTTTTCTAACTTCTGCCACGGATTGAGGTTTCCAATACCGCTCAGGACGGTTTCCCGATGCCTACGGCCGATTCCACGCGTACCCCCATCCCCACCCCCAAGGTCTCCCCACTTGCAAACGGGCTACTAGAGAACATGGTTATGTAAGAGGCCGGCCTCAGTAGGCCTGGCCCGCCGCCCGACGACGGGACAGTCTCTCATCCTCCGGCCAGGCATTCAGTTGCTGTGGAAACCCGGGGCCTCTGGGTCCAGTTTCCTGGAAGGCGGGGTGGGGGCGGGGTGGGGGGCCCCGCCCTCGGGGAAGGCTCTCGCGCCCGTCACGTTCCACACGTCCCCAGATGACTGCCTTGTGGTCAGACCTGCAGAAGCTCCTCATTTGTGGGGGGGAGGAAGCAAAGGGGAAGGGGGGTGCCCAGATCATCTGCTTGCTCCAGACCCAGCGGTATCGGTTTGAATTTTAACCCCACAGACCCAAACCCCCAGGGAAGATGCGCTTCCTCCGTTTACCGTCTGGAAAACTCGGAGCCAGCGTTTTCCAGCGTTTTCCAGCGTTTTCCAGCCGGCACCGGCCTCTCCCAGACCCAGGGGGTTGCTAGGCTACAAATTCTAGGGTATTAGGAATGTGACCATTGCTAATCCCCTCTCTCCAGCCCGCCCCCCACCCCCTGCCCGTTATCTCTTACTTAGCCACAACTCAAAGCCTTTTCTTTGTTTAACCCCACCCGGGTTCCCCTTCATCCCCCCCTCCCAACATCCTCTGCAGGTCAAAGCTGTCTTGTGTTTTCAGTCTCTTTAAAAACTTTTTTTTTTTTTTTTGCTTTGGGGCCACACCTGCTTAGCCGTGCTCAGGGTTTACTCCCGGTCCTGTGCTCAGGGATCACTCTTGGTGGGACTCTAGGAATTATTCCCGGGTGCCCCAGATCAAACCTGGGTCTCTCTTGGGCCCTCTTCTCCGGTTTTTCTTGTACTGTTTAGTCATCAGATATTTAATTTCGTGCCTTACAGACATTCACGGTGCTGGTGGAGGGAAGTAGACACTGGGGGTAGGATTGGTGCTGAAATACCGTGTGTCTAAAACTGTCAACATCTTCGTACATCACAGCTCTTTAATTTAAAAAAAGAGAGGGGGGCTGGAGAGATAGCACGGCGGGGAGGGCGTTTGCCTTGCACTCGGCCGACCCTGGTTTGATTCCCAGCATCCCATATGGTCCTCTGAGCACCAAAAAAGAGGGGGGGGGGAGAGAGAGAGAGAGAGAGAGAGACAAATTGATGGTGTGAGGAGGGTGGAAGGAAGTGGACTAGAGGTGACAAAAAAATACTTCTAGTTAATCAGCGTTAAACACTACACTACGGTAGCTCTGTCACCTACAGGACAATCAATTTCTGTTTATTCAAAGAAAGGAATGAATAGACTATTGATTATTCCCACCAAGTGTATAAGAACCAGTTGGGTTGGCTTTGCCCCCTCTTGTTTTGGGGGGGGGATTGTCACATAGTGGTAGTCAGGTCTACTCCTGATTCTGTGCTCAGGGGACTATGACCCATCCCTCCAGCCCCATTATTATTATTATTATTATTATTATTATTATTATATCACTGTCACTGTCCTCCCGTTGTTCATCGATTTGCTCGAGCGGGCCCAGTAACGTCTCCACTGGAGACTTTGTTGTTACTGTGTCTGGCATATCGAATACATCACGGGGAGCTTGCCAGGCTCTGCCATGCGGGCGAGATACTCTCGGTAGCTTGCCGGGCTCTCCGAGAGGGGCGGAGGAATCGAACTCAGGTCGGCCATGTTGGCTGCGTGCAAGGCAAATGCACTGTGCTATCGCTCCAGCCCATTATTATTTGCTTTTTTTATGGGGGGGTCACACCCAGTGATGCACAGGGGTTACTCCTGGCTCTGCGCTCAGGAATTACCCCTGGCGGTGCTCAGGGGACCATATTGGATGCTGGGAATCGAACCCGGGTTGGCCACGTGCAAGACAAACACTCTACCCGCTGTGCTATTGCTCCAGCCCCTCCAAGGCCCATTTTTAAGTGGAAGAAGAAAATACTACCAATAAGAACTGAGAGTTTGAGGAACGGGCCGAAAAAGTATTTGGGGCGCCCTGAATACCACACCCAGCATGCTCAAGGCTTAATTCCTGGCTCTGCGTTCTGGGATCACTCCTGGCAGTGCTGGGGGAACCCTATGGTGTGGGGATTCGAACCCGGCCCCGCCTGGCGCGCAAGGCAAGCGCCCTAGCCACCGTACTACAGAGCATAGGCCCCTGCAAAGGGCTCTTTAACGGGAATTGATCGCTGGTCCCGCTCTGGATGCTCTCAAGCCGAGGCCCGAGGCAAAGCTTGCAGAGTGAGTCAAATCCCGAGTGGATGGTTCGGAGATGCCACGTGCAGACAGACTCCTGGACCGCATCCCGCGCGCCGTCGTCGCCGTGGTCCCCAGAGAGAGCGGGTCCTGCTTAGCCACGCAGCTTCGCTCCGAGCCGGGAATGGCCCGACTCTCGCCTCCCTTAACCTTTGAGAGACTCCAAAAGCCGCGGCTAAATTAGGCGTGGGATCGTGGGATCGTAGCTGCTTTCTGCTCCCGCGCCCGCCAACCCGGGTAACTCACTCAGCGCGTTTGGCGTCTGGAGAGCGCGGATGAGGCAGCCGCATCCCCCGGGAGATCAAGCCCCCTTCTGCGCAGATGCCAGGGCAAATAAAATAATAAATAACAAGAAGAATGATGATGATCAAAGCGCAAACTGTTGTTTTTTTTTTTTTCCTGCCCTCCCTCCCGTCTTTTCGGCTTGCCTTTTTGTCCGTGAAACCAAGAAGCTGCTTTAGAAGAGGGAAGAGGCTTTTTCTTTTTTTTTTAAGAAAAAAAAAAAAACGGAGTGGGAGGGGAGGGTATAGGATGTGGTTTGATAAAGGAAAGGGGAGGTGGGGTGAGGACCGGCTCACAGCAGGGGGATGGAGTGGTTGCCCACGGTGGGGGCAGAGTTTGAGGTCGCCACATTCCGAGCGGTCACCGGCTTGCTGGGGGCGGGGCGGGGTGGGGCCCAGGAGGCGGGTCCCCGCGGTGGGGGGGGGACTCCGCCCTCTGCAGAGATTATAAAGGGGTGCGCGAGCGTCTTGCCGGGAGCCTGGGAGGGGGAAACGTCTGCGGGCTCATCCGTGGGGCTCCAGGCGCTAAGTGGCTGTCGCTGCGCGCGCGGGGACGTTTGGGCCGTGAGCCGGTGGCTGGCAAGGGGGACCCTCTCCGGGACGCCGGGACCGAGATCGCTCTCCAAAGCGTCCGGGCGCGGGATTCAGGCGCGCGCGACCATGGGGACCGGGAAGGTGAGTGAGCGCGGGGGGGTCGCGGGCTGGCCCGTTATTTCTGCGCGGCTGCCCGGGGACAGGCCCGGCCGGACGCAGGAGCCGGCCGAGCTCGGGGTCCCTGAGTCACCGCGCCTTCCCCGGAGGGTCCCCCGCTCCCCCACCCAGGCCACCGAGCCTTCTGCCTCGCCGCGCTGCGGGGGGCTCCGACCCCCCGGAGAAGCACCGTCGCGTCCGTGCCGGGGTGTCGCGAGCAGTGGGTGGAGGATCTGTCCCACCCCCCACCCCGGACACCGGCCCCCGCGGATGGCGTGCGCCCCGACGTGGGCGCCCGAGGCAGCCGGGAGGGGTGGTCCCCAGATTTGTCTGGAGGGGGTCTGGGCAAAGTCTCCACCCATCAGTTTCCCGACAAGTGCAAGGTGTGCTCGCGATGAGCAGTTTATTGATGACTGTGTGGTCCAGGGCAGAGTGGCCTGTGGTTGTGGGTATTGGGGGTCGCGGGGTGCTAACCCAAAATGTATGGGGGGGGCTAGGCAGGCGTTTTCCGGCCGCTGTCAGCTTGTGGAGGGCCCTCGCGGATAGTAAATATTTCGGGTGGGGGTGGGGTGGGGGAAGTCAGGTCTCCCCTCCCCCCCCCCCACCAACAGACCCACGCACCGCCAGAGGATTCAGATGAAGAGTTTGACCTCAGGCTGGTGCCTCGCTTGTTCCCGGGGCAAGGTCACTTTGGGGGAACCGTCAAGGTGGCCTGGAAGCAGATAAGGATGAACCGGGGTGGAGGTGGGGACCGTGCCCGGGCGTTTACCTGCCCTGCGGCCAGGGATGCGGGCGCGCTGGGTGATGCGCCGGGTGATGGGTGCGGGGGGACCCTGGGCGCCGGTCTGAGGGGACCCCTCTCCGCGAGCGCGCTGCCCGGCTCGGTGCGCGGTGGCTGGGATCGTGCCACCCCGGCGCCCGCCCTCCCTGCCAACCCCCCCCAAAATCCAACCGCGGCGGGGCGGCCGGTGAGCTGCGTTCTCCCCCTGCCGGGTGGGAGGTGACAGTGCAGTGGTTGGGACCGGCGGGGCTGCTTTGCGCTGGACTGTGGGTGGACGCGGTGGGGCACTCGATCCCGAGCAGGGCGGGAAGGGAGACACAACCCCCACCCCCCACACACACACACCGAATGCCAACGCACACACACCCATCCGCGCGCGCTCCCGCGCACCCTCCCGGACTCCTGGGGGACCTGACGCGGGCAACGGAACAGGGGGCCCGGGGCAGGGTCATGCAATCGGTGATTTCCCAGGACGGAGGCTCAGGGACCCTTGGGCCTGCTGTACCCGCTCACCCAGCTCCTCCCATCTTCTCACGGTGCTCCCGGAGCACTCACTTCTCTGCCCTCCGGGCGCCGCCTCCCTTTGCGTTCTTCATCTAAGACGCCAAGGGCTTGTTTTTCTTTTTTCCTGCCCCTGCCCTGAGACCCGTTTCTCTGTCCCCCTTCCTCAGGTGACTTCCGAGCTGATCTTTGCCATCTCGGTGGCCACCATCGGCTCCTTCCAGTTTGGCTACAACACGGGCGTCATCAATGCTCCCGAGATGGTAAGTGTGGCTAGCCTCCCAACCCACCTTGAGTACCCCCAAGGGCCTGGGATTCCTGAGGGGCTGAGATTTGCAGACAGGGGCCTGAGTGATGAGAGTACAGCGTTTTTGCCTTGCACGCAGCCCATGGGAGTTCAATCATCGACACCCCATGGCGTCCCCTGAGCACCGCCAGGAATAATTCCTGAGTGCAGAGCCAGGAGTAACCCCTGAGCATCCCCAGGTGTGACCCAAAAAGAAGAAAAAAAAATTGCAGGCAGATATCCTTGAAGTTTAGCTTGCCTAAAACTGAAGAGAGATCAGGAGTGAGAGGTGTGTGTGTGTGTGTGTGTGTGTGTGTGTGTGTGTGTGTGTGTGTAGGGGGAATCTTTTAATTTTATTGTGGGGCCATGCTCAGTTGTGCTCAGGGTTTATACTCCTGGCTCTAAGCTCAGGAATCACTCCAGGTGGGGCTCTGGGGATCACTTGGGGTGCCAGGGGTTGAACCTGTGCAGGGTAAGACAAGCACTTTCCCTGCAGAGAAGCACCCCACCTTTTCTGCCCTGACTGTGAGAAGTTTTAAGTTTGCTTGCTTGTTTGGGTGGGAGTGTGTGTGCACTGAACAGTGTTCAAGCTTGGCTCTGCAGTCAGGGGTCACTCCTGGCAGGCTTGGGGGACAGTAAGGGGTCACGATCACGATCACGACCATCCTGTTGTTCGTCGATTGCCTTGAGCAGACCCCAGTAACGTCTCCTTCGTCCTAGCCCTGAGATTTTTTAAAAAGTGCCATATTCAAGGCTCTTTCAGGCTTAGGAGAATGAGACCCATCATTGTTACTGGTATTTGGCATATTGGGTACGCCACGGGGAGTTTGCCAGACTCTGCCATGTGGGCAGGTTACATTTGGTAGCCTGCCAGGTTGTCCAAAGTAAGAATGAGATAAGATGTCGTGTGGCCGCAAGTGCGGCCACGCGCTTCTGGGAGCTGGGTTTTATAGTCTCTGGATCTTGGTCGTTGGTGGGGGTACTGGGAATCAAAACCAGGCTGGGGGCCAGAGTATGTCGTTTGTTTGCCTTGCATCTGGCCAACATTAGTTCAATTCCCGGCATCCCATAGGGTCCCCTGAGTACCGCCAGGAGTAATTCCTGAATGCAGAGCTGGGAGTAGTAACCCCTGAACATCATGGGCGTCACCTCCCCCTGGCCCCCCCCCCCAAAAAAAGCCAAAAGAAATCCCAACCAGATAGCTATGTGCAAGGCAGTTACCAAGCATCTGCCATTCCTATCCCTTGTGCTCCAAGGATGAGGAAGGCTTTTGCGAGGTAGGAGGACGGGGTTGCGGGGGGAGGGGAGGATGTTGCAAACTCAGCAATGCCCAGGGCTGTCTGCTGACTCGGTGGTGGGACCACATGGGGTGCTGGAGATCCCGACCCAGAGAATGGAGAAGCTTTAAATCACCAAAGCAAAGGTTCTCTCACTGTGTGATGGTTTGTTTCTGCTTCCTTAGGGATGAGTAGTCAAGAAGGGGGGGGGGGGGGTCTTAGAAGAGAAAGTGTGGAACCAGAGCCATAGTAGAGTGGGTAGGGTGTTTGCCTTGCACCTGGCCGACCCGGGTTTGAGCCCTGGCATCCTGTGGGGTCCCCCCTAACACCGCCAGGACTAATTCCAGAGCAACGAGCCAGGAGTACACCCTGAGCATCACCAGGTGTGGTCCAAAGAAAAAAAGAGGAAGAGGGCCTGGAGCGATAGCATGGCGGGGAGGACGTTTGCCTTGCACATGGCCGACCCAGATTTGAGTCTCAGCATCCCATATGGTCCCCTGTGTGTCGCTGGGTGTGACCCAAAAAGCAAAAAAAAAAAAAAAAAAGAGGGGGGGGGTGGTTTCCGCAGGTCCCATGTCTGTATATTCTCAACCTTGGTCTTTTCTCCACCTGTTGGCACTTGCAGATCATCAAGATGTTTCTGAATGAGACTCTGACAGATAAGCAGGGCACGCCGCCCAGCGAGGTGCTGATCACCAGCCTCTGGTCGGTGTCTGTGGCCATCTTCTCCATCGGCGGCATGATCGGCTCCTTCTCCGTCGGACTCTTTGTCAACCGCTTTGGCAGGTATTGACCAGAAGGGGCCAGGGAAGGGACTCCACCAGCTGCCCTGAAGATGAATCCTCAGAATTGGGGTGGAGAGGGGGGTGGTGCGTTTGTATAAGGACCCCTAATTTTCACCTAGTCCAAATGGGCCTGACTTGGGGCTGGAGCAAGAGCAAAACGGGGAGGGCGTTTGCCTGGCACGCAGCCAACCCGGGTTTAATTCTCAGCATCCCATATGGTCCCCTGAGTACTGCCAGGAGTGATTCCTGAGTGCAGAGCCAGGAGTAACCCCTGTGCATCTCCGGGTGAGACCCAAAAAGAAAAAAAAAAAAGAAAAAAAAACACAACTGACTTGAAGGACTGCCTCTGTCAATTGCTCCCCAGCTGTCAGGTGAATGGTGAGTGTCTGAATTTCAGAGAGGCATAGCAAGCTTTCGGATTATTCCTGGAACAGGGGTTAAGGCACCGTCTCTACTTGCCTTGCACATAACTGACCTGAGTTTGATCCCTGGCATCTCATACCGTCCTCCGAGCACCACCAGGAGTAATCCTTAAGTGCTGCTGGGTGTGGCTTCAAACTTCTCCCACCCTAAGAAAACACCCTAAGTGTTCCAGAAATATGCCATCTCTACGGTCGCTGCTGTTTGATTTTCTTTTCTTTGGTGGGGGTGAGGGTGGGGCTTGGGGCCACACCCAACAGTTGGTCTATTTCTGACTCTGGGCTCAGTGTTTGGGACCTATGTTGCCAGGGTTCGAAGTGAGTTGGTGGGATACAAGGAGGTGTCCTAGCCTCTATAATATTCCTCTGGCCCTAGCTGTGTTCAGGGAACCATATGGAATGTTGGGGGTTTGATTTTCTTTTCTTTTGTGGGGATGGTGGTGGGGGTTGGGGTTTGGGGCCACACCCAACAGTTGGTCTATTTCTGACTCGGCTCAGTGTTTGGGATCTATGTTGCCAGGGTTCGAAATGAGTTGGTGGGATACAAGGAGGCATCCTAGCCTCTATAATATTCCTCTGGCCCTAGCTGTGTTCAGGGAACCATATGGAATGTTGGGGATCAAATTTGGGTGGGCTCTGCACAAGGTAAAGTACCTTACCTGCTATATGATCCCTTTGATGCCTCCCTATTTGCATTTTTTTTTGGGGGGGGGCGCATGCCTGGTGATGTTCAGGGGTTTCTCCTGGCTCTGCACTCAGGAATTAGTCCTGGCAGTGCTAGGGGACCATGTGCCCTGAGTCAACCTCCTGCAAGGCAAACAAACAACCCTCCCTAGGGCTGGAGCAATAGCACAGAGGGTAGGGTATTTGCCTTGCAAGCAACTGACCCGGGTTCGATTCCCAGCATCCCATAGGGTCCCCTGAGCACTGCCAGGAGTAATTCTTTTTTTTTCCTAATTATTTATTTATTTATTTGCTTTTTGGGTCACACCCAGCGATGCGCAGGGTTTACTCTTGATTCATGCACTCAGGAATTACTTCTGGCTGTGCTCGGGGGACCATATGGGATGCTGGGAATCGAACTCGGGTCGGGCCGCGTGCAAGGCAAACGCCCTCCTCGCCGTGCTATCACTCCAGCCCCGTCAGGAGTAATTCTTGAGTGCAGAACCAGAACCAGGAGTAATCCCTGGGCATCGCCGGGTGTGACCCAAAAGCAAAAACCAAAGAACAAACACCCTCCCCGATGTCCTGTCACTTCGCCCCTCCCGCATTTTGCCTTTGTTGCTTTTGGCCTACATACACCATGTGATATTCAGGAGTCACTCTTGGGTCTGTGCTCAGGAATCACTCCCAGCAGTGCTCAGGGAACCATATGGAATGCCAGGAGTTGAACCTGGGTCGGCCGTGTACAAGGCAGACACCCTACCTGCTGTGTGACCTCCTTGGCTCCTGCTTTTGGTTTAATTCAAGTGTCTTCATTATGACACACAGCAGGCTGATAAATATTTTTTTAATCCTTGGCCTGTGAATAATGGTCAAACCACTGAACTGAAAAGAGGTTTTTCCCAGAAAAGAAAATGGATCTTCTCACTTTGTACTGGCCTAATGAAAGTGCCTTAGGGGACCAGAGAAGCTATTATAGGGGTTAAGGCGCTTGCCTTGCGTTCAGCCAGCCCGGGTTCGATCCCTGACACCACATATGGTTTCCTCCAGCACAGCTAGGTATGCCCCCAAATCCAAAAATAAAACCAAGGACTTGTGATATTATAGTGGGGAGGATGTTTGCCGCTCACACGGCCGACCCAGGTTCAATCCCAGACGTCCCATAGGGTCCCCTGAGCACCGCCAGGAGTAATTCCTGAGTGCAAAGCCAGGAGGAACCCCTGTGCATCACCGGATGTGACCCAAAAAGCATAATAATAATAATAATAAAATCAGAGTGCCTTAGCACTAGAGAGAGCACATGGGTTTTTCAGGCAGAGGGACCAGTGTTCAACGCCCCACCAGTCTCACAAGGCTCTCCTGACTTAGTATATGTGGTGGGTGTGGGGCCCTGGGCATTTTTAGCTGATGTTAGTTTGTGGATCACTTTATTTTATTTACTTATTTATTTAGCTTTTTGGGTCACACCTGGCGATGCACAGGGTTACTCCTGGTTCTGCACTCAGGAATTACTCCTGGCGGTGCTCAGGGGACCATTTAGGATGCTGGAAATTGAACCCAGGTCTGCCGCGTGCAAGGCAAACGCCCTACCTGCTGTGCTATTGCCCCAGCCCCAGTTTGTGGACCACTTTAGAACTGAAGTACTCGGGACCAGAGCGATAGCACAGTGGGTAGGGCGTTTGCCTTGCACGTGGCCGACCCGGGTTCGATCCCCAGCATCCCATATGGTCCCCCAAGCACCGCCAGGAGTGATTCCTGAGTGCAGAGCCAGGAATGACCCCAGAGCATTTGGGTGTGACCCAAAAAGCAAAAAAAAAAAAAAAAAAAAAAGGAAGAAGAAGAACTGAAGTACTTGCTGAACCCACATGTTCCAGCTGGGGTTTAGGAAGGAAAATCTGATCACTCATTGCTAGTTTTGTGGGTGAGTTTTATGCAGGTGAAGGTGGGAGAAAAAAAAAATCCACGGTTCCGGTTTTCCCAAGTAGAAAAGTTCTGCTCATAGAGAAAAGTTCCGTCCCGAGAGAAGACGAAAGAAAGAATCGAATGCTGACGGAGAGGGAGGTGTGAGCAGGCCTGGATTCAGACCCACGGTTGCTAACGTTGCTTGTCTCTTGTTTGCCCTTTCAGGCGCAATTCGATGCTCATTGTCAACATTTTTGCTGTCGTTGGCGGCTGCCTCATGGGGTTCTGCAAACTGGGAAAGTCGGTCGAAATGCTGATCATAGGTCGCCTGGTCATCGGCTTCTTCTGTGGGCTCTGCACGGGTTTCGTCCCCATGTACATTGGGGAGGTCTCCCCGACTGCCCAGCGGGGGGCCTTCGGCACCCTCAACCAGCTGGGTATTGTCGTGGGCATCCTGGTGGCCCAGGTACTGTCGCGCGTGTACTGAGTGCTAATATCATGGGGTTCACTACATGAGTTAACAGATTCGGGCCTGTCATTCAGACTTAGCCCATTCTTCACCATAGATAAGCTGCAACATTTTTTTTTTTTTGATTTTTGGGTCACACCCGGCGATGCACAGGGGTTACTCCTGGCTCTGCACTCAGGAGTTACTCCTGGCGGTGCTCAGGGGACCGTATGGGATGCTGGGAATCGAACCCGGGTCGGCCACTTGCAAGGCAAACGCCCTACCCCCTGTGCTATCTCTCCAGCCCCAAGCTGCAACATTTTTTATTTAGTTTTTATTTTAGTTTTTCTTTTGTTGGCTGTGCGCAAGGCAAACGCCCTACCGCTAGCACAGCGGGTAGGGCGTCTGCCTTGCACGCAGCCAACATGGCCGACCTGAGTTCGATTCCTCCGCCCCTCTCAGAGAGCCCGGCAAGCTACCGAGAGTATTCGATATGCCAGACACAGTAACAACAAAGTCTCCAATGGAGATGTTACTGGGCCCGCTCGAGCAAATCAATGATCAACGGGAGGGCCTTTACTTTACTTTAGTTTTTCAGCTTTTTGAGTCACATTCGGTAATGCTCAGGGGTTTCTCCTGGCTCTGCACTAGGAATGACTCCTGGTGGTGCCCGGGGGACCATATGGGATGCTGGGAATCGAACTTGGGTCGGCCGCATGCAAGGCAAACGCCCTACCCGCTGTGCTATCACTCCAGCCCCACTACAGTGCTTTTATTGGCGGGGAGGGGCGCCTGCTTTGCATGCAGCCAACCTGGTTTCAATCCCCGGCATCTCATATGGTTCCCCAAGCACCGCCAGGAGTAATAGCTGAGCACAGAACCGGAAATAACCTCTGAGCATCGCCAAGTGTGTCCCAAAAAAAGGGGGAAGGGGGGAAAAAACTAAATTATTGGGGTGGAAGGACAACTTTGTGCCATACCCAGCATGCTCAGAGGCTACTCCTGGCTCAGTGCTCAGGAAAGCATGGTTCTGGGCATCCCGTTCAACGAAGTGCCCTGTACTCTCCCAATTTTACTCTGTGCTATAAAGAAAGGATGATTTTGTGATTTTGGAACTATAGTGGTTTTTCCTTTCTTTCTGATTTGGGGCTCCACCTGGCAATGCCTCGGGGGAAAGTGGGGCCGGAGTGATAGCATGACAGGTAGGGCGTTTGCCTTGTATGCGGCTGACCCAGGTTCGATGCCCAGGAATCCCCAGCATCCTATATGGTCCCCCGAGCACTGCCAGGAGTGATTCCTGAGTGCAGAGCCAGGAGGAACCCCTGTGCGTCACTGGGTGTGACCCGCCCCCCCAAAAAATTGGGACTGGGGTCAGAAATGGGTCGGCTGCGAGCAGGACAAGTGCCTCAGACGCCCTGAACAGTTTCGCCAGCCCTGAACTTGGGCTTTGGCGTCCTCGTGCGGCCTGTGCAGTTCCAGGGCTCATAGTAGTATCCTGTGTCCGGCTTCTTTCCAGATCTTTGGTCTGAAGTACATCATGGGGAGCGAGAAGTTATGGCCCATGCTGCTGGCCTTCACCATCATTCCCGCGGTCATCCAAGGCATCGCCCTTCCGTTTTGCCCCGAAAGTCCAAGGTTCTTGCTCATTAACAAAAAGGAAGAGGATCAGGCGACCAAGAGTGAGTATCTATCAACTTCCATGTTTAAGTCTTTTTTTTTTTTTCTTTTTGGGTCACACCTGGTGATGCACAGGGGTTCCTCCTGCCTCTGCACTCAGGAATCACTCTCACGTGCAAGGCAAACGCCCTCCCCTCTGGACTATCGCTCCAGCCTCATTTGAGAAGTCTTAAGTCTGGTGGTTGAATTTAGCATGGCACTCAGTCTTTTAGTTTCAATGTATTTAAAAGACTATTTTTGTTGCCTTTCTTTTGGGGCATGCTCAGAGTTCACTCCTGGCTCTGCGCTCAGGAATCGCTCCTGGCGGGCTCAGGGGAACCATAGGGGGGCGTTGAGGCTCAAACTAGGGTCCACCAGGTGCAAAGCACTTGCCTTACCTACAGTACTATTGCTCGGACCTGAAATCATTAAATCATGTTTAATGATTTAACGTGTTATTTATTATTACTTGTTATTGGTTGGGCTCAGGGCTGTTTCCTGAGCACAGCCTGCACGGAGAGATCTTGCGTGGATCAACCTGCTTGTCTTTTTGGGTCCCCCAGCACCCCCAGGGGAGACCCCCCACCATGCAGTCAGGAGTGCGCCCTGAGCACTGAGGGGTGTGGCCACAGTTGTAGTCAGAGTTATTTTCACTTCTCTGCTCAGGAGTGACCCCTGGCAGTGATGGGGGTACAACATGGGGTCACTGTGATCTAATTGGGGGTGTCCACATGAGAGGCAAGCCCCTTGCCTCCTTTATTTTTTATTTTTATTTTATTTGCTTTGGTTTTTTTTTTTTGGAGGGGGTTCCACACCCAGTGATGCCCAGGGTTCCTCCTGGCTCTGCACTCAGGAATTACTCCTGACGGTGCTCGGGGGACCCTATGGGATGCCGGGGATCGAACTTGGGTTGGCTACGTGCAAGGCAAACACGCTCCCCTCTGTACTGTCTCTCCAGCCCCTACCCTGCCTCCTTTAATATCTCCCTGGTTCCGTATTACTTGGTGGGGGCTGGGGTGAATCCCCACGTCGTGCTTGGAGACCCTGGGGCTCACTCCCACCCATACTCAGACATTCAAGCCTGGATAGTGTGAGTGCCTGGGGGCCCTTGTGCCACATGCATCCGTGCCAGGGTACAAATGGGAGTGGCAGCACCTGGAAAGCATGAGTCTCGACTGCCGAGCGCATGTCCTTGGCTTCTGGACCCTTTTCCTGCCCCTTTGACCTACCTGGAGAGTTTTTTGATTGTTCTTGAGAAGCTTGAGGTGAGGACCGGGGGGCTAAGATATGGATCCAAGTGGACCCGACCTCACTCCCAGTGCCTGTTGAGAAGAGACATCTCTTTAACTTTTTTGGTTTGTTTCTATTTGGGGATCACTCCTGGCATGGCTCAGGGCACTCTCTGGGGTGCCAGGGGTTCAACTCCGTCAGCAACATGCAAGGCAAGCGCCATCATGTCTTCTCTGTCTACTCTGCTGTCCCTTAGCTCTGGTCCCACCCACCTGTTTTTTTTTCCTTTCCTTATTTTTTTTTTTGGCTTTTTGGGGTCACACCCAGCGATGCTCAGGGATTACTTCTGGTGGTGCTCGGGGCACCATATGGGATGCTGGGGGATTCAACCATGCAAGGCAAATACGCTTCCTGCTGTACTATCACTCCGGCCCAACTGTGTCATCATTTTTCTTTGTTTTTGTCTTTTGTGTTTTTTTGCTTTTGGGGTCACACCCAGCGATGCTCAGCGGTTACTGCTGGCTTTGCACTCAGGAATTACTGCTGGCGGTGCTTGGGGGGCCATATGGAATGCCGGGGATCGAACCCTGGTCGGCCACGTGCTAGGCAAACACCCTACCCTCTGTGCTATCACTCCGGCCCCGTGTCATCATTTTTTTTTTCTTTTTCGGTCACACCTGGTGATGCACAGGGGTTACTACTGGCTCTGCACTCAGGAGTTACTCCTAGCGGTGCTCGGGGGACCATATGGGATGCTGGGAATCGAACCCGGGTCTGGCTGCATGCAAAGCAAATGCCCTACTCACTGTGCTATCTCACCAGCCCCTGTTGTTGTTTTTTGATTTTTGGGTCACACCCAGCAGTGCTCAAGGGTTACTTCTGGCAAACGCCCTCCCCACTGTACTATCGCTGGGGCCCATTTTTCGAGTTTTTTTGGTTTTTGGTTTTTTGTTTTTTCTGTGTGTGTGTGTGTATGTGTGTGTTTTTCCATGATGGTGGGACCTTCTGGGCTCAGGGATGGCGCCCAGTGCCCCCGCTGCCCAGTAGAGCCTGTCCTGTTCTCATCAGTCCTCCAGCGCCTGTGGGGCACCGACGACGTGAGCCAGGACATCCAGGAGATGAAGGAAGAGAGTGTCCGGATGTCGCAGGAGAAGCGTCCCACCGTGCTGGAGCTGTTCCGGTCCCCCAGCTACCGGCAGCCCATCCTGATCGCCATCATGCTGCAGCTCTCCCAGCAGCTCTCGGGCATCAACGCTGTGAGTATCCCGGCAGCCTCCGAGCCGCCGCTTCTGACCTGTGGATCCACCGGCCTGTCACCTGGTGTCCTTGCTGTCACGGTTGGGGTGGGTCGGGTTTGGAGGGGCCACATCCAAAGGGGGTCAATGTTAGAGTCTGCGAGGGGGCTTGTGTGGGACCATCAGGTGCCAAGGAACTCTCTGGCCCTTGACTTATTTTTTTTTTTTTGCTTTTTGGGTCACACCCGGCGATGCTCAGGGGTTACTCCTGGCTCTGCACTCAGGAATTACTCCTGGCGGTGCTCGGGAGACCATATGGGATGCTGGGAATCGAACCCGGGTCGGCTGTGTGCAAGGCAAACACCCTACCCGCTGTGCTATCACTCCAGCCCCTCAATTTTTGGGGGGGGGGTCTTTTTGGGTCACACCCGGCGATGTTCAGGGGTTACTCCTGGTTCTGCACTCAGGAATTACTTCTGGCAGTGCTCGGGGGACCATATGGGATGCTGGGAATCGAACCTGCATCAGCCGCATGCAAGGCAAACACCCTACCCACTGAACTATCACTCCAGCCCCTTGACTCCAAATTTTGACTTCTATCCAGGCATGCAGGGCTGTGGCTCAGTCGTGAAGTATACATATATGCCTTACCTTGTGTGCATCGGATTCCAGGGGTAGAAAAAGGAAAAAATTGACCCACCCACAATCTTGGTTTTTGTTTGTTTCTTTATTTCGACTTGGGGGCCACACACAACTAGGCTCACGCCATACGCTTAGCTGACACTTAGGAACTGTCCCTGGCAGTGCTTGGGGGACCATATGGGATGCCGGGGGTCGAACCTGGATGGGCCACTTGCAAGACATGCTCCGGTTCTAGTTTTCAGATTTGGGATTTTTCCTTAACACCGTTTCTTTCTCTCTCTCTCTCTCTCTCTCTCTCTCTCTCTCTCTCTCTCTCTCTTTGCTTTATTTCCAGTTATTTAACTACGTGGGGTTTTTTTTTGGGGGGGGGGGGAGCGGGGGAGGTTGGGCTGCACTTGGGATGCTCAGGGGTTACTCCTGGCTCTTCACTCAGGAATCACTCCTGGTGAATACCATTTCTCTTAATTGGGGTTTTTTGGTTGGTTGGGTTGGTTGGTTGGTTGGTTGGTTGGTTGGTTGGCTGGGGGGCCACACCCGCTGGTGCTCAGAGATCACTCTTGGGTTAGCTCCATGGCTTGGAGGCCAGCCACACATGCTAGGGGTAAAGGCAGCTCAGATAGAGAAGGGAGCACCAAATAAAGGGTGTTGGGGAAGATCCACCCAGGATGGGAGATGCATGTTGAAAGTAGACTATAGACCGAACATGATTGCCGCTCAATGCCTCTTTTGCAAACCACAACACCCAAAAGTAGAGAGAGAACAGAGGGGAATGCCCTGCCACAGAGGCAGGGTGGGAGGGATACTGGGATCCATGGTGGTGGAAAATGGGCCCTAGTGGGGGGATGGGTACTACACGATCATTATATAACTGAAACCCAAGCACAAAAATTTGTAAGTCTACAACTGTACCTCATGGTGTTTCACTAATAAAAATTAAAAAAACAAAAAGAGAGAGAGATCACTCCTGGCGGGCTCAGGGAACCATATGGGGTCCCGGGGATCGAACCCAGCTTAGCTGTGTGCAAAGCAAATATCCTCGCCACTGTACTATTGCTCCAGCCCCTGAAAAAAAACCAAAAACATGTTGCATCTCCTCTTTCCTCCTAGGTATTCTATTACTCAACAGGAATCTTCAAGGATGCCGGAGTGCAGGAGCCCATCTACGCCACCATTGGTGCCGGTGTGGTCAACACTATCTTCACCGTCGTTTCAGTAAGTTTGAGCGGTTTGATCATTTTTTGGGTGGAGGGAGGAATTCTGGCCATGGGATGGGAGTGAATACAGTTCCCTTATTCCGGCCAACATGGAAAATGAACCAACAGGGGAAGGGGTATACGGCATAAGGGCATGGACTTGGCCCAGCAGTGTCCCCTGGAGTGCGGGAGAGCCTTGGAGATTGCATGGTGGCAGGCCCATTGCCTTAACCCCTGAACTGTCTCTTGGGTCTTGGAGCCTCTCAAATGGGGACTGGTCTTATAGGATTCTGTCCCCCAGGATCCTGGTGACACACAAGTTGCGGCAGCTCATAGGGGTTGTTGCTTTTTTTTTTTTAATTTTTTTTTTATTTTATAAGTTAGTTCACAATATTTGATTACATTTAATATTCAAACACCAATCCTACCACCATGACACCTTCCCACCACATATTCGGGATGTTTCCATCCCAAACCCCAATCCCTGTTCCAAAACACAACTGAAAGAATAGATTTTGTACTGTCTGCTATAAAGAGCTGCTGAATATGCATACAGAAAAGTGTTCGTATAGGAAACGGTGTAAAGATTGTTCCATTTTGGCAGGAACCATTAAGACATTCTATAAGATATCACTAACACGGGCGATAGCACAGCAGGTAGGGTGTTTGCCTTGCATGCGACCAACACGACTAACCCGAGTTCGATTCCTCCGCCCCTCTCGGAGAGCCCGGCAAGCTACTGAGAGTATCTTGCCCGCATGGCAAAGCCTGGCAAGTTACCCGTGGCGTGTTCGATATGCCAAACACAGTAACAATGGTCACAATGGAGACGTTACTGGGCCCGTTCGAGAAAATTGATAGACAATGGGAGGACAGTGACAGTGATCACTAACATGTTGTTAAAGTTTGGGTGGTGTGAGCTTTGGGATATATATATATATATATATATATATATATATATATATATATATATAGTACTGCACTGTCCTCCCATTCATCGATTTGCTCAAGCGGGCACCAGTAACGTCTCCATTGTGAGACTTGTTGTTACTGTTTCTGGCATATCAAATACATCACGGGGTGCTTGCCAGGCTTTGCCGTGTGGGCAAGATACTCTCGATAGTTTGCCGGGCTCTCCGAGAGGGGCAGAGGAATCAACCTGGGTTGACCGCGTGCAAGGCAAATGCCCTACCCGCTATGCTATCGCTCCAGCCCAATAATAAGAATAATAATCTGTCACTGTTCTCCCGTTGTTCATCGATTTGCTCAAGAGGGCCCAGTAACGTCTCCATTGTGACACTTGTTACTGTGTTTGGCATATCGAATACGCCACGGGTAACTTGCCAGGCTTTGCCGTGCAGGCGAGATACTCTCAGTGGCTTGCCGGGCATTTCGAGATGGGTGGAGGAATCGAACCTTGGTCACCAGGTCATTTGCATGTGTATATGTATATATTTTCCTTCTATGATTTGTTACCTACTGTCTGAAACCCATCAAATATGGTGTGGCAATTATAGAGAGTAGGGGAGGGAATGTCTTACGATGTGTCCAGGAATAAGTTTACTCATGTGAGGCGTGGCCCGGAATGTGGCGGCGGTTGGGTCGTGGAGGTCATCTGCCGGGGCTATGTCCCTGGTTGCTCCGACAGTCAGCTGAGGTGATGCCTCAACTTCTTTGCTTCTTTCAGCTATTTCTGGTGGAACGCATGGGGCGCCGGACACTGCATCTCTTGGGCCTGGCGGGGATGGCCGGCTGCTCCATCCTCATGACGGTTTCCTTGTTGATGAAGGTGAGTGAAACGTCATCCCCTCACCCTCCTGTGAGGGAAACAAAGGCACCCGCATCCCGGCTACCACTGCCGTGGGCTCCAGGCCTGGCGTTGATGGTGGGGTCCGATGCGGGCACGGGTTGGGTGAGTAGGGTTGAGTAGGGTTGGGTTGGCAGGATAGGGACCCCCCAAAGCTGGTGCCTTTTGCTGCTCTTCTGACATCCCTAGAGCAGCAGAGCCTTGGTCCAACCAGCACCAAGCAGCCCCGCCTGGTTTTCCTCTTGGGACCACTGTGAGATCATTCTCGTTCCCATTGACTAAGAGGATCGTGTGTGCCCTCCTAGTGGCAAGGGGTGTGGGGTGGGAGGTCCAAAGCCCGCAGGCAGCTGTCAGCCCTGACATTGAATCCTACCATAGGACTGAAGGATGTGCCCCCTCCCCCACCCCTCAATTTGCCCCGGGAGGCTTGGTACCTGCTTTTTTTTTTTTGGCGGGGGGGGGGAGGGGATCACACCCGGTGATGCTCAGGGGTTCTTCCTCCTGGCTCTGCACTCAGGAATTACTCCTGGCGGTGCTTGGGGGGGCCCGATGGGATGCCGGGGATTGAACTCGGGTCGGCAGCATGCAAGGCAAACGCCCTCCCTGCTGGACTCTCGCTCCGGCCCTGCTTTGCACCTATGGCCCTGACGCTGCTCTCTTCTTCCTCACCCAGGCCGATCATCACTGGATGAGCATCGTCTGCATTGTGGCTATCTTGGTCTTCGTGGCCTTCTTTGAAATTGGCCCGGGGCCCATCCCCTGGTTCATCGTGGCCGAGCTCTTCAGCCAGGGCCCCCGGCCGGCGGCCATGGCCGTGGCTGGCTGCTCCAACTGGACCTCCAACTTCCTGGTGGGCCTGCTCTTCCCTTCGGCCGCAGTAAGTACACGGACGAGCAGACGCCGCCTCCCTTCCATCCGACCAGCCAGACGACCGAAAAGCCAGCTCACAGGGCCCCTCTTGTTATATACCTTTAAAAAATGGTTACTAAGGGGCTGGAGGGATAGTACAGCGGGAAGGGCGTTTGCCTTGCATGCGGCCAACCGGGCTGACCCGAGTTCGATTCCTCTGCCTCTCTGGGAGAGCCCAGCAAGCTTCAAGAGTATCTTGCCCGCACGGCAAAGCCTGGCAAGCTACCCGTGACGTATTCTATATGCCAAACACAGTAACAAGTCTCACAATGTTACTGGGCCTGCCCAAGCAAATTGATGAACAACGGGAGGACAAGTGACAGTGACAGTGACTTAGGGGCTAGAGCAATAAGACAGTGGGGAGGACGTTTGCCTTGCAGGCAGCTGACCCCGGTTCGATCCCCAGCATCCCATGTCCCCAGAACACTGCCAGGAATAAGCCCTGAGCATCACACCGGGTGTGACTCCCCCCAGAAAGCATAAATAAATAAATAAGGGGCCAGAGTGATAGTACAGCAGGTAGAGCATTTGCCTTGCACACAACCAACCTGGGTTCAATCCCCAGCATCCCATAGGGTCCCCCGAGCTTGCCAGGAGTAATTACTGAGTGAAGAGCCATTGGTGTGCTCTGAGTATGCTGGGTGTTGCTCAAAATTGCCACCCCCAAACCTCCTATCAAAAAAAAAAAAAAAAAAGGTGGGGCTGGAGCGATAGCACAGCGGGTAGGGCGTTTGCCTTGCACGCGGCCGACCCAGGTTCGATTCCCAGCATCCCATATGGTCCCCTGAGCACCGCCAGGAGTCATTCCTGAGTGCATGAGCCAGGAGTAACCCTGTGCATTACCGGGTGTGACCCAAAAATGCAAAAAAAATAAAAGTAGAAATAAAAGGTTACTGATTCTTTGAAGGATTAGGTACCAGGGACTTTAAAACTAGATCCCCTGGCCCCACTTTAAGAGAGAATCTTAGTGATTCTTTTTTTTTTTTTCTTTTTGGGTCACACCCGGCAATGCTCAGGTCAGGGGTTCCTCATGGCTCATGCACTCAGGAATTACTCCTGGCAGTGCTCGGGGGACCATACGGGATGCCGGGGATCGAACCCAGGTCGGCCGCGTGCAAGGCAAACACCCTACCCGCTGTGCTATGGCTCCAGCCCCTCCTCCCACTTTATATTTTAAAGACTTCTCAGTGCAGTGAGGGGTGGAGAGGAGAGCAACAGAAAAGGATAAAGCTTTGTGGGGTTTTTATTTTTGGGGGGGGGTCAGAGTTTGGGACCCCTCCCCAGCTGTGCTCAGGGGCCACTAAGGCTCTGCTCAGGGAGCCATATGCTGGGCCAGGATCAAACCGAGGTCGGTTACATGCAAAGCAAGCACCTTATTCCCCGTGCTCTCTTCAGCCCAGTGCTAAACTGTTCTTGGGGGGTGATTCCGGGGCGGGGACTAGGGCCACATCCAGCAGCGCTCAGGAGTCCTCAGGGGGCCCAGATGTGTGTGATGATGCTGATAGAAGGACAAACGGCATCTCCCCCACTCCCCAGTTTTTAGGGGCAAACCCCGTGGTGCCCAGGGCTTACTCCCGGTGGTGCTCAGGAAACCATATATAGTGCCAGGGATTGAACCTAAATCAGCCTCAAAGAACAAACATCTCTTTTTTTTTTTCTTTTGGATCACACCTGCTCATGAGTTACTCCTGGCTCTGCACTCAGGAATTACCCCTGGCGGTGCTTGGCTATACCTATGGGATGCTGGGGATCGAACCCGGGTCGGCCGCATGCAAGGCAAATGCCCTCCCCACTGTACTATCGCTCCAGCCCCAAGGCAAAACATCTTACCCACTGCCCTGTCTCTCTGACCCCAAGTCTGGTGTCTGAACTTCCCGGACTATCTCTGACTCAGCACTAAATAAACCTTTTTTTCTTTTTTTTTTTTTTTTTTGGAAGTAAAAACAGATTTCATTTGGAAGTTCTTAAGAAGGGAAGTTCTTTTGCTTTTTTCTTTTTTTGGGGGGGTGGGGGGAGTCACACCTGGCAATGCACGGGGTTTACTCCTGTCTCTGCGCTCAGGAATCACTCCTGGCGGTGCTCAGGGGACCATGTGGGATGCTGGGAATCGAACCCAGGTCGGCCGCGTGCAAGGCAAACACCCTACCGCTGTGCTATTGCTCCAGCCCCAAGAAGGGAAGTTTTAAGAGGGGAAGGCGAGGTGAAGGAGAGAGAGTATCAAGTGCTAAGAGAGAATGCAGGCTTCTGGGGTTCCAGCTATCGTATAGTGGGGAGGCATTTGCTTGGCATGCTGCCAAGCTGGGTTGGTTCCCTGGCATTCCATACGGTTCCCTGAGCGTGGTCAAGTGTGACCCCAAAAAAGCAAAAAAGAGAAAAAAAAGAAGAAAAGAAAAATCGCAGAAAAATACTAAGCTAGGAGCTGGCGTGATCATACAGCCGAGAGGGCGCTTGCCTTGCATGCAGCCGACTCAGATTCAGTCCCCGATATCCTATGTGGTCCCCCCCCACCCCCCGCAAAACCTGCCAGCAGTGATGAGTTAGCTCCGAGCTGACTGGGTGTCCTGTCATCATCTCCATCCCCAATCCCTCCCCCAGGAAAAAAAAAAAGATCCCCAAGGGAGCCAAAGAGTCCGAGCAAAAAGGTGTTTGACCCTCTGCATTGGGAGGGATGCTAGTGGGACCAGGTTGATGCAGGATGCCTTTGCCGGGACTGACCCTCCTCTTCCGTCCTCTCGCCCTAGTTCTACTTAGGAGCCTACGTGTTCATCGTCTTCACCGTGTTCCTCCTGATCTTCTTCGTCTTCACCTTCTTCAAAGTCCCCGAGACCCGGGGCAGGACTTTCGAGGAGATCACCCGGGCCTTCGAGAACGGGGGGGCCCTACGTGAGAAGAGCTCCTCTGTGCCCATGAACAGCCTTGCCCAGATCAACACGCCCAGCAACACAGCCACCGTGGGAGGCGTTGAAGGGGAAGGCGCAGGCGAAGGGGAAGGGGAAGGGGAAGGGGAAGGGGAAGCGGTCTAACCAAGCCCGGTTCTTAACCCACCTCTCTCCCGAAGACACACAAGCCCCCTCCCCCCCGGAGCCGAGGGGGCGCACCTCAGTCAGGTTGGAATCAGGACCGTTTTTTTTTCCGAATGCTGCTACTTGATCTCTTCTCCTCCCACACAGCCCGGGAGCACCCGGTCTGGGCCCCTGGGACGCCTCGTGGGGGCTGGTTGTCCTCCGCGACTCTTGTCACATCCTGTCCTTGCTGGGGACGTTTGTCCTCAGCTGCGGAGAAACCGAGGGAACCTCCCTTTATTTCCCGAAGGATGGGTTGGTCCCTGGGTTTCTAAACTCGCCTCTGGGCAGGGCCCCCCACCCCCCAACGGGGAAGGAGGAGTCGGGGTGCCGGGGGCCCCCCCACCTTAGAAAGCAGGTGTCTGTCCCAGGGAGGTGGCAGGGGGGTAAGAGTTGGAATCACACGCGCACCAGCCTCACTTCCGTACGGCTCAGCAGAGCGACTTCTTCACTTGAGTTTTATTTATTTTAACTTCTGGTGGTATTGCAGAAATATTTATTTTTTTAACTGTAAAGGAATTTTACCAAATAATTAAAAAAAATTATATATATATATCTCTCTATAGAAGGACATTGAGGTGCAGAGGGGGAGGTGTTTGGGGAGAGGTGAGAAGGGAGGAAGGGTGAGGTGAAGGTGAAGGTGAGTGGAGGCAGTTCAAGTTCAAGAATGTTCTTTTCGTCGATGCCACGCGGTGTGAACTTGGCCTCAGTCCCTCTGAAGGAAGCTTTCTCAGAAAAGTGATGTGCCTGTACTACTGAGGTTTCCTTTGGATTTTTTTTCCCCCCTCCCTTGGCTTAAGATTAAATTTAGTTATTACTTGAAATCTAGGGTTATTATAAAGATGGGCATTGTAGTTGGTGGTGGTTTTCGGGCACCAGACAAGACAGGGTGGTTTCTCGAAAAACTTGACCCTCCTTGTACCAAACCATTTTCTTTTCCTTGTAGTGGGTTCACTTTAAAAACAAAACAAAACGTGCACACACACACACACACACCCCACACACACACACACGCGTGCGCGCACGTCACACGTAGACACACACACACACACACGACACACACACATACACATACACTGCAGCCCCTGCGGTGGGGTCAACCCCTCCATTGTTTCTTGGTTCGAGGTTATTTTCTCCATTTTATTCTTTAGGGGACTTTTAGAACCTGCATTTATTTTTGTATTAACCTGTAGCTTGAAAAAGAAATCAGAAGAGATTGTTGATAGCTGGTGTGGAATTTGTAATCTGGGAGATTTTTTTTTTTTTTCCCTGAGTGGTTCTTAACGTGAATGTTGTTGCTCTTAGGGTCCTGGCATGCTTGTCCAGTTCGTGACCACAGTGTTGATGTGTTAAGTGCCCTTCAGAGGGCCCAGATCATTCCTCCCACCCACCCGCAGGAGACGGTGTGGGTGCGGAAGTGGGCGGTGAGGCCTAGCCCCAGACCACGAATGTTCTGTCTGCTGTCTCCAGCGCTGAGCCGCCGGAAGTGTTGAAACATGTGTGTAAGAAACACTGCCTCTGATGGGTGACATTTGTGTCCCTCTGGGTTTCTTCCAAGCTCCTCTGACCTTTCCTTGTTGGAGAAGGTGGAGCTCATTGAATCCCTCCCGGCCTGAGATGGAGTAGGAAAGAAAAAGAAGAGATGAGAACTTGGGGGTCTTCTGTGGCTATTGGAGGGGACGCCTGGGGGCCACGGGAGGTGTTGGGGAGTGAGCCGTGTTGTGGGGGGGGGACACCCTGCCACGGTCAGACCATTTCCTTCGATTGTTCCATCTCCCTTTCCCTTGGTGCTTACACATTTCAGATCCTTGCCTGAGACAGGATTTTTGTTCTCAGACTGCCCCCCTCCCCCCCAGTGCTCTCTAGGCTGGGAGCTTTGGAGCTGGGTTTGGGGAGGTGGGGGGGTGGTGGAGGGTTGGGCTTGGCTGAACATGGGGCGGCCCTCACCCTGAGTGCAAGTTCCCCCGTATTTTTCAGTGACTTGGTGATGAATATTTCCAAATGAACTTCTTATTACTCATGTTAAACTGTGGTTCTTTGTTTTGAAATAAAAATTCTGAATGTATCTAGAATGGCACAAGCTTGGGCTCTGTTTTTGTTGGTCGGTTTGGTTTTTGCTTTTGTCTTTCCCAGTCCAACCACATTATTATTGATTTCATGCGTTTTCTGGGCCATCCTGGCAGGGCTCAGGGAACCAAGTGTCCTTGCCTTGGGGCCAGAGAGATAGTACAGTGGGTAGGGCACTTGTCTTACACATGTGCAGCCTAATCCCCCAGAACATCCCCTGTGTTCCCCCAGGCACCCCCAGGAGTGATTCCTGAGTGCAGAGCCTGGAGTGACCCTAATCATCTTCAACGTGGCACCCAAAACCAAACAAAAAAAACACTTGCTGGGGCTGGAGCAATAGCACAGCGGGTAGGGCGTTTGCCTTGCACGCGGCAGACCCGGGTTCGATTCCCAGCATCCCATATGGTCCCCTGAGCACTGCCAGGGGTTAATTCCTGAGCGCAGAGCCAGGAGTAACCCCTGTGCATCGTCAGGTGTGACCCAAAGAGAAAAAAAAAGCGCTTGCCTTGCATGTGGCTCATCCTGGTACTACAACTGGCATCACGTGGTCACTGAGTACAACTGGGAGTAGCCCCTGATCACCACCAAGTATGGTCCAAACGCTTATCATTGGCCCAATTTAGATCTTTGGGTCGGAAAGATAGTACAAGGGTTAACGCACTTACTGCGCATGCGGTTGACCAGGCCTTCCTAGGCCTCTTAAGCACAGAGGCAGGAAGTAAGCCCTGAGTAACCAGGGATGAGTTGAATTGGGGCTGGAGTGATAGCACAACGAGTAGGGCATTTGCCTTGCATGCGGCCGCCCCGGGTTCGATTCCCAGCATCCCATAGGGTCCCCTGAGCACCGCCAGGAGAAATTCCTAAATGCATGAGCCAGGAGTAACCCCTGAGCATCACCCGGTGTGACCCAAAAAGCAAAAAAAAAAAAAGTTGAATTAAATAGAGATATAACTCAAGGGTAGCACTTGCTCTCTCTGTTTGCTTATGTAGATTCCCAGCGCTACAAAACCAATACACACACACACACTGCACCATGCCATCCCCCTCTTCCCCCCCCCTCCCACTACATAATGCCATCCACTGGCATCTTACCAGACTGAAAATAGCATGGAGAGTAGGGACTGGGAAGACAGTACAGCTAGGAAGGTGCTTGCTTCGCCCTGAGTTCACCCAGGTTTGATCCTAGCACCCTATATGGTCCCCTAAGCCCTGCCAGGAGTGATCCCTGAGTGGAGTGATTGGTAAGCCTGAGCACAGCTGGGTGTGGCCCCCAAACAAACAAGTTCTTTATGTAGTCTACTGTCAGGGGTGTGTGTGTGTGTGTGTGTGTGTGTGTGGCTTTTGGGGCCACACCCGATGATGCTCAGGCGTTATGGATAGAACTTGGGTTGGCCACATGCAAGGCAAACACCCTACCCGCTGTCCTGTGATTCTGGCCCCCTATAGGTTGTCTTTTGGCTTCCTTTATTATGTTCCTTGAATCATAAAAATTTCTCTTGGGGCTGGGGTGATAGCACAGCGGGTAGGGCGTTTGCCTTACATGCGGCTCAACCCGGGTTCGATTCCCAGCATCCCATATGGTCCCCCAAACATAGCCAGGAGTAATTTCTGAGTGCATGAACCAGAAGTAACCCCTGTGCATCGCTGGGTGTGATCCAAAAAACAAAACAAAAAAAAAATTCTCTTTATTGTTGTTATTTTCGTTTGGGGATCATACCCCGTGATGCTCAATGGTTATTCCTGGCTCTTATACTTAGGAATTGCTCCTGGCAGAGCACTGGGGACCATATGGGATGCCGGGGATTGAATCCAGGTTGGCTGCATGCTAGGAAATTAAATGCCCTACCCACTGTTCTATCACTACCCCCCCAACTTTCTTTTTGTTTTGTTTTCATTTTGAATCAGCCCTGGAGACTCCTGAGCACCCCCGGGATGGTCTGGGTATCCCCAACATTGCATCCTCAGGATCCACTGAACCGTGGATCCCTTGGCCAAGAATAACTAGTAGGACGGGGCTGAAGCAATAGTACAGTGGGTAGGGCGTTTGCCTTGCATGGGGCTGACCCGAGTTCAATCCCTGGCATCCCATATGGTTCCCTGAGCACTGCCAGGAGTAATTCCTGACTGCAGAGACAGGAGTAACCCCTGAGCATAGCTGGGTGTGACCCCCCCCCCAAAAAAGGAGAAGAACTAATGGATCCCTCACGATCATGATCTTCCTGTTGTTCATCAATTGCCTTGAGCAGGCACCAGTAACGTCTCCTTCACCCTAGCCCTGAGATTTTAAAAAGTGCCATATTCAAGGTTCTTTCAGGGTTAGGAGAATGAGACCCATCATTGTTACTGGTATTTGGCATATTGGGTACGCCACGGGGAGGAGTTTGCCACACTCTGCCATGTGGGCAGGTTACATTCGGTAGCCTGCTAGGTTGTCCAAAGTAAGAATGAGATAATAAGATGTCCGGGAGCTGGGTTTTATAGTCTCTAATCCCCCAGAACATCCCCTGTGTTCCCTGTGTCTTGGCCGTTGATGGGATTACACAGCGCTGGGGAGGGGGGCGGGGCAGTTGGTGGGTGTGACCCCTGCCTACTGGAAGATGGAGGATCTGGGTGGAGGATGCTCAGCCCCGATCCGAGCAGGCTTAGAGATCTCAGCCCTGGGACCCGCATGCCTTTGTTCCTCTGCCGGTACCTACATGCGTGTGGAGAGTGGTCTCAGCACGCTTGTGGCTGGTTCTGGAGGTCTTCGGCTGCCGTATAGTGGATCCCTAGGCCTCACAAAATAAAACAAAGGGGAAAAAAAAAACTGAAGGGGCCGGAGATATTGTGTACCAGGTAAGATGTTTGCCTTGCATCACCCCTATGGTTCTCCAATTACTACCAGGAGTGATTCC